CCCTTCTGACCCTAAATCTATGAAACTATGAAACTATGCTCTCACCACTTCCTGAACCTTTCAACTTGTTTGCTCTCTCTTCCAGCAAGGTGTCAAGTCCTTTCCTTCTCACCTTCAGTGTATAGCCTGTTTGTTACTCAGTCTGCTTCATCTTGAGCCCTCTTGGTTGTACTTGAAGCAACTTCTGCTTCCACTGGGGGTCTGGATTCATTTAATTACCAGCCCACAATTCTGACATTGTTACATTAGCATCAACACAGGTATTCAGTAAGATGAGACAATTGTTAAAAAAAAGCCTACACACTTTTAATACAGCAACACTTGCTTCTCTCAGGGTTGGCCCATTTGATTCATTAACTGAAAGAGTTTCTTGTTTTAATCCTCCCTCCTCTCCTTTCTCTCTGTCAAACCACACCCATCTGCAGGGAAAGCAGGTTTATTACATGACCACTCAATTTTAAATTCTTAATGGAATTAATATAGATTAGAATTGAATAACAATAATGTAAACAACCATACTTGTAACAAGAAGAATAAAAAACTAATTAAAAAAGCAAAACCAAGCAAATCTCTATCACCTATGCCATCTTGTTTGCACTTGTGAGGAGAATCTGGGAAATCGCTGGCCTAAGAATCACCATAAAGAAGTAACAGTACAGCGTCAAATACATATACAATAAGTTAAATAATTTGTGAGTAGCCAAAAGGGCCGTGTCAAGCAACTATATTTTTCACAATGAATCATTTAAACAGCGCTAAACCACAGACTGCCTAGATTTTGAGTTTTTCCCACAGTCTTCAAGGGCTTTGTCTTGGAAATATGTTTTCTTTTTTAATTTGCAATTATTCCAGCAGCTCTTACCTGCTCTCCCACCACTGTAAAAACAATTCCAGCTCCCCTGGATTATACATTTGTGTGTCTGTTCCATATCTCAGTGTAAGATACATAACCTGGGACCATGCAAAAACTATTGTTAATATGTGGCATATCCAGGTCCAGACTGTCTGTCTTATAGGACCACAAAACTCCAGATGCTTGCTTTTAATTTTGTGCAGTGACTGAAAGCCAAGGGGTGAGGGTACCTTAGAATGGCAATGCATAACTTAGTAGCAGCTTAATATTCTGTTATGAAGAAAGAAGCCCTCTTCTGGGAAGGGGTAGAGCACTCATAGTACATATAGTGTAATCTTTTATTAATTAAGTTTTGTAGAAATATGAATGGCCTCTTCTAATTGGCTTCAGGCTTGCAGCCTGGAGCAATTAGCAAGCCAGTTAGCAGGATCTCCACATAAGGGGTTGTAGCTGGCCCAGTTGATTAGTAAATGAGGGGAAGTTGACTCGTTGACCTGGAAATAAAAGGGGACAGGAAGTGAAAGTGAGTTGGGACAGGATGGGGTGTGGTGTAGTGTAGTGTAGTGTAGTGTAGTGTAGTGTAGTGTAGTGTAGTGTAGTTTTCTTTTCAGGGAGAGGCAGGTGGTTTTAAGCGAGAAAAGAGTGGAAGGTGAGAACCAGATTTTGCTTTTGGGGGTCCATTGTGGACTGTTTGTATTTTTCTGTTGTGCTCTGTGGAGTGGATTAATCTAGGGCTTGAAGCTCAGTTTGGATTGTTTTACTCTTGGCTGAGGCCTGGGAAGCAGAACAAGCCAGGCATGACAACCTGTATTTCTGAGCCCACAGAAAGACTGTTGCTAGGACCAGATTATAAGGCTCAAGGACTGACTTGAGTCAGACAGAGCCAAGCTAGCTGGCAACCTGCTGTACCCCTGTTCCAAAATATTTTCATGCTGAGTCATTATAATTCATATTCTCACTGCTCTTCCTCCTTTTCTTTCTCCATCTCCACCCATTGCTACTACTGATTTGGATGGTTTATATATTTACACGCATGTGCGCACACACATGCACATATGCACCCCCTCTATTCAATCTGCACCCATACATTAGGTTATTTTTGTCCATACTATACTACATCATAGTGTAAGTTCACCTAAACAGTGGTCATGAGAATAGTGGCTTGATGATGGATCACTTCAGAAATGGACATAATGCAAGGAAGTGCACAGTTTGTGGGGACACCGGACAAGTGGACAACAAAACACAGTGAGAGAATTAACAGTGAGGCACTGGCAACAAAACACAGTGAGAGAATTAACATAGTAAGTCAAAAAGAGATGAGAAGGAATTTGGATTTGATTCTGAGCTGTCACACAGAGTGAAAGTTCCAGTATCACCTGAGTGGGAGGCACTGAGCTGACTTCAGAAATGAGAAGGAATTTAAAATTCCTGTGAAGTAGGTACATATCCCTGGAGCCACTCCCACATTTCTCTTTGCGACCTGAAAGTTGTGCAGAGATCTGCAGTTCTGACTCTGACACCTAGACACACTAAGAAATGAGATGGTCTGAACATCTGGATCCCCAGTTCTTGCCTATGATGAGTGGGATTCAAAAACTATATGGAACGGTGCTAAAGTTCCCAACTGGAGAGGCATGCTTGAGGCACAATGACAGTACTGAGTTCCATACAAAACACAGCTGTTTTCATTAGAACACAATAATTTTGGTTCAGGCTGAGGAAATTCTTAAAAAAATGTTCTTTTCCCCACATGCTAATCTTTTTTCTTTCCATTTACCCATCTCTCCTTCTTAGCAGGTCACTGATTTCTATTGAATTACATCATGAAATTGCTTAATATACCTGGCATACCAAGTATATTTTGATTTTTGCTATTGTACTGAATTTAATAAAAACTGGAAAGTCATATACAAATGTATTATATTTTTACAGTGGTCACTCCTACAGGCTTACCAACTGCCTTGGGTATACTGGCTTTGGTAAGTATATGAGTATATATAATTTAAATCTATAATCTTACAGTGTTTTCATGACCAATTCAAAATAAATGTTTTTGATAGTCTTGTTTGAAGCTTGGCAGATAGTTGGTAAAACAGCCAACATTATCTTTTTACAATCAACTTGCTTACTGTGTTAGTTGAGTTTCCATTTAAATGTAAACCACTGTCAAAGAGAGGTGAGGAGGCTCCACTGCTGTGATCACTGGATGGTCCAGGGGAACCTGAAACCACAGGATGAAGAGTAGTTGCTTAATTACATTTAAGAGGCATTAAGCGGGTAATAATAATTTCAATGGAAGTGGGCTAACAGCATGAGGGTTTGTAATTTTTACTCACCAAATGAAAACACCCATCTAACTGCATTCACCAACAGCTGTCTGAACATATGCTGCATTTGAAAAAGGGAATATAGGCATCTAGACAGCTCTACTTACAGATTTGTGTTCATCAGAATTACTTACATGACTAACAGCCTTGTTACACCTTATGCTGCATAAATGTTGATCAGTATTAGTGCTAGGTTGGAGTTTGGAGAATAGGTTGGAGTTTGAACAAAGCCGGTATCAAATTAAGGTACGAATAGCTAAATCACAATGTAGATGCACTAACACGTTAATGCTGTGTGTCAATGGATACACACTGTGTTAACGCACATTAGCATGTCTGCACATATGTAATATAACATAACTATTTGTGCCAAAATGTAATGATCCTTAAATGTGCAATAGCACATCCATGTGTAGATGTGCTCCTAAATCGCCTAATGCAAGGCACATTAAGCTCCAGGGCTGGGCTCGGCTGGGTTGGGCTGTTCTCTGGCAGTCCCTAGCTGCAGGGTATAAAAGCCTGCAGTCATTTTGTACCTTGTGGCACACTACACAGAAGCCTGCTGGAACCTGTGCACTCCCTGGGACCAATGCAGGCCTTGTGTGCCCCCCTGGACAGGTCACAGGCTGCCTCTGCATTGCTTGTCCCTTTTCCACAGCTGCTGCTTGGCCACAGATGAGTGTTTGATATTGTAGCTCAGGAACCCAAACAAGGAATCCAGGTGTGACCAGAGTACCAGGAGGATCAGCAGCAGCTGGGCATAGTGCCTTGGGCATCTGTCAGCCTGCACAAATAGCTCATTGTGCACAACAGGTGCATGCTTGGGGCATGGGGGGGGGCGGTGACAGCCCCAGGGCCTCTCCCCAGAGAGACCCCCAGTGAGGAGGGCAGGGGCATGGCCAGCCCCTTGCCCCAATCATCTGGGAGCCCCATGCACCCTGAGCCTAGGCACCATGGCCTGGGCGGCAGCATAGCAGAGCAGTTGGATTGCACCAACTGTGCACCATGGATGGGACCTTCCTGCTCCAGTGGCTGGTGGTGGTGGCAGAGGCATGGGAACTGCTGTGCCCCTTAGCCCCCCTCCCCCATTGTCCCCCACTCTGGGCTCAAAATCCAGAAATATTGTAAATACTTTTCCAATTGTAAGTAGGTTTTTTATTTTTGTGGGTTGGGAGGGTGATGGAGGGGCTCTTTTGGTTTACAGGGAGTGGGGAAGGGGTTCTGTTTTTGAGGAGATGGGAGGAGGCATGGGGGTGAGTGTTGTTAGGGAAATAAAGAAATAAAGGGGAGGGGGGTTGTTTCAATAAGGTCATGGCCTGAGAGTGGTGTTGGGGGTAAGTAGGGGTGTGTGGGTGGCAGGGCAGGCATGCTGGAGTGGAGAGTACTGGAGGAGGAGGTGAACCAGGGCCTCCCTCACCCCATGCTCTGGCCCCTGCTGGTGAGTACACGGCTCTCCTGGGGCCAGCACCATGGCCAGCAGGAGCATGACGCACTGGCCAGCAGGAGCATGAGGCACTGGCAGGTGCAGGGCTGAAGCAGCAGGGGCTGGGTGTCACCGACAGGGGAAGCCCTGGTGCAGGAGGGCAGGGTGGGGAAGGAGGAAGCTGGTTCATGCTGTTCCTGCTCTAGGCACACGGCTCCTGGATAGGGAAGGAGCTGGCCAGGGATCAGGACTGTGTTTTCAAGATGGCTGCCAAGTGCTGGCAGCTGGCTCTGGCTTCAACATAACTGTCGAGTGCTGGCAGCCATGTGGCTGGAGGATGAAGCTCCCCCAGTGGCCACAGGGGCAAATGGCACAGCTGAAGGGAGTTGGCACTTGATTTATTGCCAAGTCACTGCATGTGGGCATTAGCTTAATGCACAGCAAATTTAGTTGTGCTTAAATGCACGTGTAGACGTGCCCTCTGTGAACATTGTGTATAAAGGTTAATAGTGTTTATTGCCTGCACAGCTCTGATTTACTACTAGAGGGCCAGTGAGCAGGGGCATGGCTAGGAGCCAGGACACCTGGGCCCGATCCTTGCTCTAGGGAGGAGAAGGGAGTGACTGGGACAGGTGCATCCTGGAGTGCTGGAGGACTGCAAATTGTTCATTTTATCTCCATGGAGCAGACTGAAGTTACCCTAATATAAGCTAGGTAGCACAGCCCAGAGTTAACTGTTGCCTGAAGTAGCATAACTTTGAGATGCTCAGAGGGCGCTTAGCATAAGCTAATGAGCTTTAATGTGAGGACACTCAAGTTCTAAGGGCCCTTACACATTACACTTAGACCATACTAACTTCAATACAGTGATTTGCAAATGAATCCTGGTCTGTGAAATCCTTGTTTACATGTATATGCTAGCTCAGAAGTCTTTTGTTGGAAATGCCTTTATTTTAGAGAAAAGGGAATTTCCTCTTTGTTTTAAAAAAATGTGAGATTAAATGCACAAAATATGTATTATCACCATACAAACTTTGCACATGTATTCTAAAAAGCCAAGGATTGAGCTAACTCTTCTGTGAGCATATATACATTATGATTTTTTTATACTATTTGTGATTGTAGGGTATCTGAGCATATTTTTATCTAAGATTATAGAATAGTGCATTATACTATATATTATACTAGGAATATACTTAATTAAAATGTTTTTATGCATTGAGGACCAACCTTTTTGGCAGACGTGCCACAAATTAGCCCTATACTCTCCCTGAATACCACTCCAATGCCTTTCCTCTGCCTGATTTGGCTGCTTTGCTTTCTGCTCCTGCCCTATCTCTCTCTGTGGTATCTGTATCCTCCCTGATCTGCCAAGTGCTACATACAGAGCCTTTGCATGCTGCTTGTGACATGTGCCACAGGTTGGCCACCCCTATTGTAATGCAATGGTAAGAGGGCAGATTTAAGGCTGTGCTTTCAATTTTAAGCATACAAAGACCAAGAAATGCAACAATTAATTATAAAATCTAGGCATTACAATAATAAAGTCCGTACATGTAATATTCTCCACACATACTGGCAAATGTGTTCCTGGTCAGCCAGACAGCAGGGAGCGGGAAATTACTCCCTGCCTCCAGGAGCTACCTGCTGCTACAGCAGGTTCTGACACTGGAGCCCGGGCAGGGACAATGTCCCCATTCCCTGACAACAGGGAGCTCCTAGTCCCTGGTCTGTGATCATGGGGCCTGGGCTGGGAGATCCTTATCTCTCAGGCCAAGTCTCACAGTCACAGGGCCTGGGCTCAGAGATCCTTATCTCCCACCACCAGCTCTGTGGTTTCAGCTGTTGGACTTGGGCTGGGAGATAATGGAGCTGGCACTTGGAGATAAAGACCCATGATTGCAGAGCAGGGTCTAGAGCTCCCCCTGGCTGCTGTAGGGGCCAGCTGCAGGGCCACAGGGAGTAGGAGCAGTCTGCTACTAGGAGCAGCAAATCTGCTTCTGCATTCCTACACATGTAGACATGTGCCTGGGAGAATTTACTCTCAAGTAATTTACTCAACAGTAAGCTGCTCTTGGATCATTGCACGTGTAGACACACCTGCTAAAAAACTTTCTCTGACTGTCTCTGATCTCCACAGCTATGACTTGCCACTAGAGGGCTGGTAAGTAAGGGCCTGACTAGGGGCTACAGTTCTGAGTTGTCTATACAGAACAGGAGGTTAGGGAGAGGAGGCGTTGCATCCTAGGGGGTGCTGCATCCTGACTGAATCTTGGATTTGTGGGGAGTGGCCACACACTTTTGGAACATGAGCTGGGTAACATGGATCCAAGAGAAACGTTCCCTGGAATGTTGTAAATGTTCGTGAAACCACCAGCTGAGAGCCTATGACCTGTGTTGCATGTTATTAAGTTAGGTTTGATAGACCTGCTAATAAGAAATGATTTATAGGCAATCTCAAGTGATGGCTGCAGACAGAATAATGAACTTTTTGATAAAAAAGTGTTTTACTGCAAGCTCAAGGTGTTTTATATATTTTTGACAATATGTGCGAAGAATATTACATGTATGGATTTTATTATTGTAATGCCTAGGTTTTATAATTAATCATACAAAGATTAAGAAATGTAAAAAATTAAGTTGAAAGCACAGTTTTAATTCCGCCCTCTTACAACTGCATTACAATGTGTCACAAGCAGCATGGAAAAGCTGTGTGTGTAGCATCTGGCAGATCAGGGAGGTTAGGGGGTTTTCTCCTGGTTAGGGGTCTACATGTATGCTACTTCACAGTTACTAATCATGAGTAAATTTGCTACTTGCATTTGCAAGTAACAAATTTATTCACAGTTAGAGCCAATTACTGTTGTGGACTTGTAGACATGGACCTGTACTACTCAGTAATTAACTCTACTCTGTAGTAAATAAAGCATCTCATGTAGATGTGCCCAGACTGAACCTGTACCTACTCTAAACTGGATCTAACTCTAACAGCAATCATCATTTGAGAAGCTTAAAGTTCAGAATGTAACAAGGCCCTTAGACTAGTAAGATGCTAACAAAACTGATTTTAATGGAAACTATTTGTACATTTTGAATAAAAACTTTGCAACAAATGGGATCAGTCTTACCTTTCTATTCAATCAATTTCCTATTAGTATATCTCATAGGGTTGGTGACTCAAACCCCCAAAACAACTCATCCTTAGCAAGAAATAGTAAAAAATAATCTACATTCAGTGCTATGATTAAAAAAAACTCTCAGTTCATAATGATGTGCAGACAGCTCCCTAGATTTAAAAAAAAAAAGAAAAGAAATGAAATGCCTCCTATCAACTACTCGATTCCCCATTCTTCTGAAATAAAGCTTCACCAGCTTTTTTCTTTTGTATAGCATAACAGCACAGCAGCCATATAAATTGGCCATACGTGCCAAATACTGGATATTTGGCACAAAAAAACATTGTCACCCAATTCTTTTCCTACTCAGTTCAAATTTAGGTGAATACCCTCCAACCCCAACAAGAAGTGCAAACTCAGCAGATGCACATCACTGTACTTTTCAACCCGTCCAAGATTGTTGCACAAGAGTCAGTCAGTCTAGCTTACTCAACACAGTAAAACAAGCACCAGGATCATGTCTAACAGCAAATCAATGTACCATGGATAGTCAGTGATGCCTTTATTATTTATAACAGCAGAACAGAAGGTCCTGATTTAGCCTGAGTCATCAAAATTAGCTGGATAATGCTACAGGCATAATCCCATTTGTCAGGCTGCTTATTCATTATAAACATTCTCACAATAAAACAAGAATGAAGAAGGATGAGACATTTTATTTTGGTCTGGCATCAAGCCTGAAATGTAAGAGATGACGCTTCAAAGAAAAGCTCTTGCAAATTTCTAATTATACTTTAAAAATCCTACTCATAAAACTCCTACTCATCCTTCTCATACTTTAAAAATCCTATTCATCTTCTGAAATGGAGTGTTTTACTCAAAAACATGAATCTCGTCCTTTTTGCTTGGGTGAAAAAACTCCCACGATGTAATGTAGCCTTCAACATCCATGTCAGGAAAGCTTCTTCTGTAATGGCCCTAAACCTCTTAGCATTTTCTATCTTCATTTTTTTTCATGGTTTATCTTGCCCATGTGCAAGCATAGCAAATTATATCCTGGACTTCATTTTTGTCTGTCTAGATATTAATAAAGTAAACAAAAGAAATACCTTATAATACTGGACTGGGTGTATTCTCCTAATTTCTGTCCCCAAAGTCATAATACTTTCTGTCCAGCAGTGAAAAACATGATATGATCTTCCCCCAAAAAGCTCACAGAAAAAGGCCAGTCCCAAAATAAGCTTTTCAATAACCCCACCCCACCAAACAGGAATGAAAACACTAATTTAGTAGGTTGCAAAGACTTAAGAATTAACCATAAATGCACTGGGACTAAAGTCCCCACTCTTTTCCTAATTCCTTTAGATATCTCTGGTGACCAGGGAAGTAGGAAGAAAGAAAACATAAGCATTGGTGGAAGAAAAGAGGAGCAGAAACTGAGCGAGACTCCAACACAAGGAGGTCTTCTGAAATGAAGACCGACAGATTGAGAGGAAAGAAGATGGAATGATTGGTAGGATTTTCAAAATTTTCTCTCTCAGATGCTTTTGATAATCCAACACTATATTTTCACTACCCATCAAAAACTTATTAAAAATGGAAAAGTGTGTGTGAGAGAGAATGAGAGTGAGAGAAGCCAGTGTTAACAATGTTAGGGTTTCATGTATTCTTAAAAAGAGGATAATATTTTTCAGCAGAGACCATGAGCCATTCATTACACAGGTATGCTCTATGTGGATAGATTATGGATACATAATTAATGAGTCTGTAGCATTTCTTCCTTCAGTTTATCCATAGCTACTTGTTCCAGGCCTAGTATCCTTGTTTAAGCAGTCTTCTTTTAGGCTTCTTCTACTGGTTTCCTTGACCAGACAGCAACAGGTTCCCCTCTTTGTCTTATTCTCCCACACTAGTCTAGTTCGACCCTTAGCTCTCAATCTAAAATTTCCTCCCCAGGCTCCCTGCCTCAATCTCCTCCTTCAGTCTCTGCACCTTCCCCCATTTCAATTTCTCAGCTTTCTTCATGTCAGTCAAGTTGCTCCCTCCTCATTCTGGGTGAGCAACAATAGCAGAGGCATTGTGAAAACAGGAGATGCAACCTCCCTGGTTGCTTAGGGAAAGTCCCAAATTCTTCAAGCTCAAGGTTCTGTCAGTATGGACAAAATTTTTGTCCCTGATCCAAAGTATGACCCTGATCAAAAAGACTTGAGCTGGCTAAAAATTTCCCAGCAGAATGCTTCCCATCTTAAAATGTCAGTTCTTCTCAACCAATGTACTGAAGTACACTTTTATGGTCAGGCTTTTTATGGAAAACTACCTTGCTTCTTGCCAGCTGCCCTACCTGGAATTCCAGGTTCCTGACTTTTTGGCCACCTGGAGGGGACTGCTTGAGAGGTAGCAGCCCTTGTTCCTGAGCTCGTACCTTTGTGGCCTTCTTAAGAGACCGAACTTCCAGGGCTTCCAGGCTCTGGGACAGTCCAACTCACCGGGCCAGGACTCCCAAGGACAGAGCTCCCAGGGCTTCTAAATTCCTCACAGCACAGCAACTATTGCCTTAGAGTCAGGTTTCCTACCTTCCTGGCTCCTCAGCAGACTGGATATCCAAAGAGCTCCAGTTCTTAGCCAAGGCAGCCTAGCACTCTTGTCTCTGTAGAGTCTTGGAAATACTTCAAAAAGTTCCAAAGGAAATGTCATTTTTACTTTTTCTCAATTACATTTCAGAATCCCTGTTGGATGGGCAATATCAACTTTTCATTTTTCATTCCATTTGGGAACAAAATTTTATTTTGAAATTCTGCAGCTTCCCACAAAAGTGTAATTCCAGTTTCTCAACAGTTCCAGTGCTAAGAATGTATTTAATATAGGTAAAATATCTTTTTCTTTTACCCTTTTCTTAGAAATGGCTAAACAGTCTTTGCTGAAAATTTTCTTAAAATTCTATCTGAAACTATGTCCACCTTGGAAAATTTTAGTTCAAAAGATTCAAGTGGAAAAGTCATGAGCAACTAAAAAACAAGTCACAGTGGATGTATTAGACAATTTTATCAATAATATTTCTATCAGTTCCATTCAGAAATTATACAACAATCAATTCAGACAGACAGACATCCTTATCTGTTATCTGTTTAGGATAAACTTGATTCTTTTTAAATAATGCAAAAAAATCCTTGGGCACTTATACATATTATGACAGCATAGAGAGGGGGTTGTTAACCGGGGTATGTGTACCCCCAGGGGTACTTAGAAAGGCCTAGGGGGTATGTACAAACAGGCAGGAATGGAGCACCACCACCCACCACCTCGTGCTGCTGCCTCCCAGGAGCAGGGCCAGGGTGGGGCAAGGGCAGCAGCGCCCCTCTGCAGGCCATACAGGCACTGACTGGCCAGCTGGATGCAGGGAAGGTGGGGGGGGGAAGCTCACATGCAGTGGCCACTACCGCCACCCAGCACCCTGCACTGCCACACACCATCTCCCCGCTCCATGTCTAGCCATACGCCACTCTGCTCCCTCCACTCCGTGTCTGCCCGCCAGACTCACCAAAAAAAAAAAATTTTTTAAGTTGAAAACCCTGCCATAGAGGCTAAAATAATAACAAGACACTATTTAAATATCAAATAAATAATTATAGTTTAATTACATATTTTTTGTGCTTACTTTTAAAATAGACCTTGTCTCATTACACATTTAGTATTTTTTTCCTCTTTCCAAACTAATCCATATTTATGTGAATATGTTTCTTATTAGTCACTCTTTGCCAAATACTTTGGACAGAAAAATTTCAACATCAGAATTTCACTCAAACTTAGATTAGCCTATATAGTATCTGAAGCAGGAAACTATTTGCTTACATCACAGCAATGGTTCTACTCTGTGAATGGATGACTGAAATATAAAAAGTACACCAAGAGTTAATTCATTCTAAGTTTTAAACAGTGAATACAATCAATGTTTTTCTTCTGCATGTGAATCTAAAGAGAATGTAGGGAAGGGTGGGTGGAAACTTAGGGCCCTGCTACATGTTTAAATTAAAGCTGGATAGAAACCTTCTATAGAGTCGTTAGTGTTTGAAAATTTATATAGCTGGTTGGCTCTTTTTATAGCTGGATAATCATTTTTACCATAGGATAATTACTTTGCGTGTGTCTGGTCCACATTTATTGCATGATTTACCAGACAATTGTATAATATATATATATATATATATAACATGTAACAGCAGAAGAGACTGGTTCAGAGGCATGATCTTTCACAGGCAACAGCCAACTTCATCAGATACTTCATCAGACTGATAAAGTAGGCTGTGGTCTACAAAGGCTCATGCATCTGTGAACCACTGAGTTTCTAAGGGTGCATCCACACAAGCACATACATGAGCTTTACAGCATCTCAAAGGCTTTTGAGGCGCTGTAAAATGTACCCTGTGTGTGTGATTTGGATCTCTGTGCTGCAAATATGCAGTGTGGAACCAAATTAGGTCCTGGGAAATCCCGGTATATAAATAAAAAAGCATGCTGAAAAAAAATGGGGTGGTGCACATAGCAGCAGCAAGTGCTGCCTGAAACTGGAGCCTGGCCAGCCAGACCTATGTTCCGGCTGCTGGCCAGGCTCCATGTGCCTGGATCTCCACTGCTGCAGCTCTGGGAGGCGCCCAGGACCCCAGGTAAGGCTGCTGGTGCCAACCCAGGAGCTAGCCCAGGACTCCCCTACCCCACCCAAGGCAATTTGCCCCATGCCAGAGTGTGCATGCAGGGTCATTCCCCAGGGACAACTAGTAGTGGCACAAATAGCATCTGGACACACCCTAAGGTGTCACCCTGCTTTCCTTCTGCCTGACTTCAGACTAACACATCTAACCACCTCTCTGCTCCTGTGAATCTAGGCATCCCTGAAACAAACTGCATTACCCTGAGGAAAGTAAAAATCCCCTGATGTAAATGTTGGTTATCAGTGTGTTGGACTCAATAAGCCAGCTGAGATTCAAATCCATGGAAATGCTTTTCAGTCAACTCTGATAAATTTTTATGTCCACCCTTTATAAATGAAATTCTTTTTCTATTTTTTTTTTGTAGAATGTACTTCTTTTCATTATGCTATACAAATCATGGAATGGATACACACCTACATTAAATAATAAAGTATATTACATTGTAGTCTATATTATGTAGGTAAGCATTCAAGAGTAAAATTGCTGCTTCTACTGGTATCTTCTCATAATAAGAAATATTGTGGAAAGGGGAAAAATGATTTGTATCCATTAATTTCCTCTTACCTAACGGGAGCTTTAGAAATGATGGAGCTTCCCTGAGGTACTGAACAGTGATGGTAACTTCATCGCCAGCATTTCTCAGTAGATGTACCTGTTAGTACGACAAATAACAGGTACTTTACCAAAGAACAGGGCACAGAAAGCAAAGTAGTCTACAACAAAACCTACATCTCTGTTGATCTGTTAGAAATCCAATACTAATGATTATTATTGAAATGAAAAATATCTTGAGGGTCAAGCCACACCAACAAATGATGAAAGCAGGTATACACAGCATTATTAAACATCTAAGAAATTAAAAGTAAATGGATGCCCTGAGTTTATATAAAGTCTGAATACAATATCTGAACATTATTTTATGCTATACACCTGTCACAGGATGGTGAACAATGTGTATATATTTCATACTATATAAAATGATAAAAAATGGTTATTACATTATT